ATGAGCAGGCAGGTTTTAGATCAGGTAGGTCTACCATAGACAACTGCTTTGTCCTTTCCCACTTAATTAATAAATACAAGACCCAGGGGAAAAAGCTGTATACCGCCTTTATTGATCTTACTGCTGCTTTTGATTCTATAGATAGGAACCATTTGTGGAGGAAACTACAAGTTATGGGGATGGACCCCAGACTTATTTTGTTGATCAGGATTCTCTATACTAATACGGCAATTAGAGTCAGATATGCAGCAAATGGGGCCTCAACAAACAGCATACCGACAACTAGAGGAGTGAGGCAGGGCTGCCTGCTGGGCCCTACTCTTTTTAACTTTTATATAAATGATATCCCAGCGCAGCTGGATGATCTTATGACGCACAGCCCCCAAATAGGCTCTAGATTTATTAATGTATTAATGTATGCCGATGACTTAGTGTTGTTTTCTAGAACCCAAATAGGAATGAGGAGACTTCTTGACAAGCTCACACGTTACTGTACTGCAAACCACTTGACTATAAATGTAGCTAAATCCAAAGTTTTAGTCTTTGGCAACAAGAATAAAAAGCACAATTGGCAGATTAACGACACAAAAATTGAACAAGTTACCCGATATACTTATCTTGGAATTGTTTTTTCCAGTGCAGGAGGTTGGACTCCGCACCATCAATACCTTTCTCAAAAGGTTAGAGCAGGAGCAAGCCTTGTATCTAAATTAAGTAAACGAATCCAACCAACCTCCATTTTACCTCTTCGTAAAGTCTTTCAGTCTAAACTTGTTCCGATCATGCTCTATGGTGCTGAAATTTGGGGTCTTACAGAGGCCCCCATATTAGAGAGAACTCAAAATAATCTGTTAAGGAGGATGCTTGGGGTAAACAATTCCACTTCAGCTGCAGCCGTCAGAGCTGAATTGGGACATTTCTCACTATACACCTATACAATCACTAGGGCGGTAGCCTACTGGCTAAAAATGACCCAGATGGATGCCAGCAGACTCCCTAAAATATGTTTAGAGGAACAGCAGATTTCAAATCCTCAAAGGTATTCCTGGCTAACCCAGCTGTCAGAAATATTGAACTGATATGGCGTAGGGTTCCCGTTGTGTGACACACTGAACCAAGTTAAACAACGGATTAAAGATATACATGGGCAAATGGATATGGCAACCCTTTCAACTAATCATTCCCTTAAACTGCTGACAGCAGTTAAAACAACTTTCACCCTGGAAAAGTATTTATATTTAGAAATGCCATCAGTGGAGAGACAGTTATTTGTTAAGTTTAGATTCGAACTTCTAGATACCAACGTTAGATTCGGCCGTTATCGGAAAATCCCGTATGACAAAAGAATATGCATATGTGGGGTAAACGTCGTGGAGGACACGGCGCATATAATATTCAAATGTAGTCTCTATCAGGAAGTTAGAAATCAATATCTGTCCCCAATTATAAATAAATTTCCCCACTGGAATATAAGCCAAAAATTAGCATTTCTGTTGAGGGCTGACTCTCCTCCCCTGGTAAGAGCGATCACTCGATACCTTAAAAGGTTGACGGCAATACGAGCCAGTTATATCAAGGAAAATTTTATCGATTGTAAGAAAGATGAGCTCAGTTAGAGAGGAGCTATCCTATTTGGGTTATCTAGTCTTTTAGTCTTGGCAACTTAGCTATTGAAATTTGATATGGTAAAATTTTAATGTCATCTATCATATATTTTTAGATTGCTATTTTTGTAACTGTTTTATCTTTTTCCCTTTTTCTCTTCTGTTTTGTTTGAAAAGGCCTTCGGGCTATTCAATAAACTATATATACGTGAGCTTAAATAGACTCCAGAGGATGGTAGAGGACAGGAAGACCTGGAGGAATGTTGTCCATGGGGTCGTGATGGGTCAGACATGACTTCGCAACTAACACACAACAAAAAGAAGTCTAAAGAAAAGAAGAATTAGGGGCCACATGATAGCAATATTCCAGTATTTGAGGGGCTGCCATAAAGAAGAGGGGTCAAAGTACTCTACAAAGCACTAGAGGAGAGGACAAGAAAAATGGTAGGAAACTAATCAAAGAGAGAAGCAACCTGGAATTAAGGAGAAACTTTCTAACAGTGAGGACAGTAAACCAGTAGAACAGCTTGCCTTCAGAAATCATGGTTGCTCCACCACTGGAGGTTTTTAAGAAGAGACTGGACAGTCACTTGTCTGAAATTGTATAGGTTCTCCTGCTTGAGCGGGCGGCTGGTCTGACCTCCAAGTGCTCTTCTCTATTTCTATTTCTATTTCTATAAATAAGAATCCTCTTCCGGATTCAAGTGGGAGTCTTGTAAAAAAAAGAAAACACTACATTAACTTACTGAAGTAATTTTATTTTAGAAGTTAGTTTTGCTCTTAGAGCAAACTGATGTTAAAGTAAAATAACAGGCTAAACACATCTTCATAAGAAAAAATCTGTTTCTTTTTTCCCGAGTGTGATTAAAAAAATTTAATTAACTGAAATTTGTGTGTTAAGTTCTTAAAAGTAATACATACAATACTTGCCTGTGAAAAACAGTGTAAGTATTTGTCTTCTTCAAACAAAAAGACTGTGTCAGCTGTCTCCCCCCACCCCCAACTTAGCTATTCCTATAAAGTTCCATCTCATCCTGCCTACTATTCTTATCCCATTATTTCCTAAGTGGAGAGAGAAATAAAATAAAATAAAAGTATGTTGGATAAAAGAAATGAAAGAGTACAGTAGTAGGAATAGATCATTTCAGATGGCTGTAAGTAAAAATCACTAAAATGAATGCTTGGAAACTGGGGATAAAAGCATCTACCTTATGTAACAAATTACTTCTTAAAATCTAGACCATTCCAACCTGTTGATTCTGAGAGATATTTTTAAGAGAACTTTTATGGGAAAATTTATTTATTCAGTTTGTGTAACTGCCCATCTCAAACCAGTACTCAGCAGTGGTGGGATTCAAGTAATTTAACAACCGGTTCTCTGCCCTAATGATTTCTTCCAACAACCAGTTTGCCAAACTGCTCAGAAAGTTAACAACCGGTTCTCCCAAAGTGGTGAGAACTGGCTGAATCCCACCACTGGTATTCAGTCATTATGACTTTGTCAGTCATATAAATGGGGAAATCAGTAAGGAAACTGGTCAGCACTGTATAAAAGGAAGTTAACAAATAAGGATACCCCACAAAGAGGCACTTAAAAATACTTTTACTGTAATTATAATTCAACAGCTGATTAAATAAATCCTGTTACTGCTGTGAAGACTGATCAGCAACTTTGCAGCAAGTAGAATTTCCTTGTTTTCTTAATTATAATTTTTGCAATCAAAAAACTTGCAAAGCCTAGGGGAGAGCTTCAGGATAGGAAAAGATAAATCCTTCCTGTGCAGTCCTATTTATTTGTTTATTTAAAAGAAATAAGACACTTACAAAAGGTGGAAAACTAACCTAGCGGATTGGCTCCTGCTATAGCAACACTAGATTCTGCCTCCTTTCCTAGAGGACAAATGGTACAACAATAATTTAGGAATTAACAATTCCACAATATACCTGGGACCTCTTTGAGCTCCTCTTTGATCGTTGCAACTTCTTCTGCAGTTAGATCTCCTTTTTTCAGTACAATCACCCGTGGTTGTTCATCTTCCTTATCACTTCCACTGTCATCTTCAGAAGCTGGAAGCTGTTCTCTCTGGAAAAGATTTCAGTACCAATCTACACAAATTTCTTGAAAAAAGAAATTTTAAATAGGGGAAAGAAAGTTGAATAGTGAAAGGGTTGCACTAAAAAGGTGAGGTTAACCTCCTCTTCCAGAAGTTTTCTGAGTCTTCATATTATGACCCTATCTCCTACTTTAGGAGAAATACTTAGAAAATTTTGATATCACCATCTGTCTGTGGGGGCTATCATATATCCAGGGGGCAGCTCCAGGGAAATAAGGAAAAAGTGACTTCCACAGCAGAGAAAAAAGATATTCTTAGCACAGAAATTTGCCTAGACTTGCTATCTATTTCTAAAAAATCCAAACTTTAATCAAAGGCTGTATCTTTTCCCAGGTTTGTTTCACAGTTTTTTTCCTTTTTCTTCCTTTCACAGTTTTGCCCTCAATCATATCTATAGAGGTGTTTTACCATGCTTCTCCTATCCCAAAACCAACAGAAAATCATACTATTGTAACTTTTCTATAGCATTATAAAGGATGGGACTAGAATATATCTATGTGGCAAAGAAACCGTGACTCCTTGTGGAAACTTGATCCTAAACCTGTAGCTTGACAAGAGAATGTATAAATTCTGCTATTTTTCTAACTACTGCTGGTAGTTAGAAAACTACAGTTAATTTATGACAATTGAGCTCAGAATCTCAGTCATTATGCAAAGCAGTCATTAAAGTGAGATGTCACAACTGCTTCAGTAACCACAATTCCAGCACTCCTGGTTGCAGTTATTTGAATGTGGTCATTAAGCAAGCAGTATCCCATTTAAGGAGGAAGGGGTGACTGTGGTAGTATGGGCGCTTTCGTTCAGCGCTACCGCTTTCCACCTCGCGCTGAACGAAACGAAGGATGGGATAGATTTTTAAGGAAAGGGAGGGCCCAAGGAACAGAAACAGAAGGTGGGGAAGTCTATGGAAATTCTCAGTCATCCAGGTCATGGTTATCCCAAAGGTGCTTTTTCAAGAGCTGAAGAAGCTTCTTGGATAAGAAGCGAAACGTCTTCAAAGAAAACCCAGAACGTCCAGTTGCTTCTTGAAAAAGCGCCTTTCGGAGAAGGGGGGAAGTTTGATACTGTTACCTTGGTGTCCACGGTGGGTCCCTCTCGATAGCCGATTCGCTCTTTGAAACGACTCAGGAAAGCGGGTTCGGCTGGCTTCACATACGAAACCTGACTTTTTTTACTCATAATCTAGGATCGAAGACACTGCGCCTCCAGTCACTCTTCAACTAGTTTCCGCCCAGGTCACGTGGGAGGAGCTGCTCTCAGAGACCTCCTTTCCCTGCTTGACGATGGTTGCTCCCATCTTGGCTTCAGCGCAGAAGCAGAGGCTTAATTTAAAGAGGGAGCCATTTTGAACGGAGGGAAGATTAGTGCTCAATGGAGACGAAACTGAAAGGGTGGAAAGAGGATGGCGTCCAAGAGCCCAAGTAGGTGGTTAAGAGAAGACGACTAATGAGAAGCTAAAATGTATCTATAGGAAAAAGACGGAGCTGAGAAATAGCTTCTGTATCGGGAGCTTGAAAACAAATGGTCAGGAGAGCCCCATGAACATTAACTCATTAGCCCCGAGGGCCACAACTACATTCTTCGCTCGCACCGCCGTTTCTAGAGTTAAAATTAAAGAATATCAGCCTGTGCTGATATTTTGTTGTGAAATACAGCCCCGGCTTCTTAGCTGGCCCTGTTTTTCTTTCATTAGAACACTAAATATTTAGTATAACTGCACTGATAACGTCATATTTTTAAAAAATGTCTACAGTAAGTATAATCTAAAAAACCTGTCTGATTCAGTGTGCCCAAATTCTGCTTTCCTTTTTCTTACATCAGTTAAGGAGGTCTAAAATAAATTCATGGAAGGCAAGTCTACTTGGAGGAACATGGAATGCATATTGATTGTAAGATTTGGTGTCGAGGTGGAAGTACTCTGATTTGCTTCAGAAAGACTCAGCTAATCTTACTAGACTCTTATCAGAAGTTGGATTCATGAATCTAAAGGGGTATTCAGCCAGTTTAATATACTTTCCTCCTGACTCTGAAGTAACACAAGAATATGCCAGATAATTTTCTGTGTTTTGATAGCCAATAAAGAAGGAGGCCAGAGGCCAGTCAGTATTCCTGTATAAATAGCCAAACATGCCTCCCTAGGCCAAGAGTGTTAGAAGAATTTTCTTGGTCCAATTTTTTGAGCTAGGTCATGAATAAACACTGCTTGGAAGTAGTTTAAAGAATGGTTGAAGGTAGCCTACGCTGTTAGGATGTTTAAGATATGCAGATTGAGATGCTCCTGCTCTAGACTTTGATCATGAGGGGTAAGTTTAGATGTGTATTGGAAAACAGGAGATGCTTAACTCCAGAGTGTTCATAAGCTTTTGAAAGTGGTTGGCATGTGGAACTTGTTCATTTGGTTGTTTTTTTTAACACTTGCCTGTTTGGAGGTCTCATCTGGCACTAAAGTTTCAAATATGAAAGTTATGATGATATTCTTGGCAATGCAGAAGTGGTTTGCCATAGATTTTTTTTCAATTTTATTTTGGAATTTCTTCTAGGTGGAGTAATGTCTCATACCTACAGAGCCCCACCTTTTCTTGTTCTTATTGTATTGTAGTTCACTCTGATCTTCTTCCTTTTCAATCTTAGTGGCAAAGTTGAGGACCCAGTTGTGGGGGCAATAAGCTGACTTTGTATAAATATACAAAAAGGATGAAGGCTATTGCTTAGCGCATTGTAAGCCGCCCTGAGTCTCCGGAGAAGGGCGGCATATAAATCAAAAAAAAAAAAAAAGTTGTTTCTTCTAAATGCTTTGATACCTGTGGGTGTTGCTACCATGGTATTAAAGCTTTGTTTTTTATTTATTACATTTCTATGGTGGTTCATCTCAAAATAAAAACAAAATTAAAACAGTAAGCAAAACTGCAGATAAACATACACATAGCTTTAAAAAAGTTCCGCATTCTCCTACATAATCCCCTTGAAGGGAGGGAAATAAATATACTTGTATTTATATTTATACAGGAATACTGTCCTCTGGCTTCCTTACCAAGAGATTGTCTATCAAAACAGAAAATTATACTGGCATATTCTTGTGTTACTTCAGAGTCAGGAGGAAAGTATTAAACTGGCTGAATACACCTTTGGATTCATGAATCCAACTTCTGATAAGAGTCTGGTAAAATTAGATAAGTCTTTCTGAACCAATGTTTACCTTTTCATAAATAGCTATGCCATTATGAAAGTTAATGTAATTAAAATGTAAGTTTTAGCCTTATGACATCTTTTGAATAACAATGCAGCAGAAATTCTAAGTTTACTTTAAAGGAAGTAAATCTTTTTCAGCAGATATTCAGTGGGATATTACTGTTTAAATGAAATTATCAGCTCCGATCTGCCGGGCTGCCAGTCCGGAGAGGGAGACCACCAGCCTGCAAATCTAGCCACCCAGAGCCTGCCGCCGACATGGCTGCTGCTATCCTGGCCACTAGAGAGACTGGCGTGATTCCCTGGAGCCTGATACTGTTTCTCTAGGTGGTTGCCTGCTATTGTTGCCACGGCGACTGGATCCGGAGCTGCTGCTGCAGATGCCGCCATTTTCGATGCCACCTCACAGCTGAGAGGCGGACTGCTGATGTTCGGGCCCGGATGCTTATTTAGAGCAATGTCGCCGCCAATGCAAGCTGTCAGGACTGACAAACCATGACTGATTGTCAGCTAGGGAGGGTAGTGGGTGGAAGCTGGACTAAGGGCGGAACCACGGGGTGGAGCTGGGAATGGAGGTGGGAGACTTCAAAAGGTGGGGAGTACAGCGCGAATAGCACTGACAGTGTTTCACTTTCACAGGTGATTGTCAGAGCATGCCGGATCACAGGATAAAGAACTCTCACAGTAAACCTGTTTGAAGTGTTTTGTCTCGTGTCGTTCCGGAACCTAACACATTGTCAGTGCTCTCCCTTTATTCTGCTTAAATACAACAAGAGCATGGCAGAGGGGACTCAGCCAGGCTTGGAAACAGAGGACTTGGCGGAGTCAGCGGTGCAGGCTAAAGTGGCTACTCCAGAAGAAATGCCTATTCAAATCTGGGGCCAGATGTTTGGCCTAAGGAGCGCACAGCACCCCTCCTTCCATCCCGGCTAGACCAGGAGCTGGTGGACGCCGAACAGGTCATGCTGCCAAGGACTGAGGGTGTGCGGGAGTGGTGGTTAGGCTCCCTGAGGCAAGGGGATTATGGGGCACCCCCTCCTCCACCAGCGCTCACCTCTTCCAGAAGCCACTTTACTCAATAGTGTGAAAGACGTATCTCAGAGGATGAGTGGAGTTACTAAATCGTTTTATGGAGCCAAACTCTGGATGTGTTGTGTGAAATGTTTGGACCCGCAGGGTTCAAGGGGCTGAACTCTGGGAGAGGGCGGAGAAGAGGTGTGGAACCTCTACTGACACGTAGTACCCATCCCCCAGAAGAGGAGTTACCCAGAGGCTGGACGCAGCCCTAGATTGGACGGGGGAAGCCCCACAGACCAGGAGACCTTCAACTACCCAAGACCTTGAACATCGCATGGGACCAGACGGGGTGTTGAGGCAAGGCAACTGGGCTCCTCTCCCATCCTGGCTGTTACCAAATCAGGGTCAGGGCCCAATGGGCCAATGGGAACTATCGGCTGTATGGGCCTCATTCGATGGTAGCCCAGACAGGGTTGCCCTGATAGACCATCTGGAAAAGTATGGCCATTTATATACTTCCCAGCAGGGTCGATTTGATTTAAATCAAACTGATTTAAATCACTAGTCAGTAAGGCTTGATTTAAATCATAGTTTTCTACATAAAGACTAATTCTTGCTGGTATAATTTTAATATGCAAGTAGATGAAGATTTTTAGAATAACAACTTTTCATATTAGTTTTTTTATCCCCAGTTTAATAGGTTAATCATTCATATTTGGACAACTTTTCTGTTGTACTTAGGAAGGAGAAAAATAATCATTACCTTAATAATAACAATTTAAATAGATTTATTCAACTGAAACAATAACATTACAGCATATGTTATTTGCTTAAACAAACATCCATGTTTGTTAACTAATTTGGCTAAACAAAATATATATATTTTAAGAAACTTAGACTGTCAGCCCAGCCTACACATGAAAAACTTAAATACTGTCCTCTGTAGCTCACTCGTCATCTTCATCTTCTTTGTTCATAATCTGGAAAAGAAAAACAAGCTTTCCTGCTTTATCGGGTCCCAAACGATTTCTCAATTTAGAATGAATGAGTCCAAAGGAAAAGAATATTCTTTCAACGCCTGCAGAAGAAGCTACTGCTGTTAAAAGTGAAATCATTACTTGAACAGTCTCTAAATCCAAGTGCTTAAGTGTCTTCCACCAGTTCACGGGTGTGACTTTCTTTAAAATATCTTCAGCAAACATATATTTCTTGAATGGTTCCCCCTTAGCTTTGAAGTTTATTATAGTTGGCATTACAGATGGATGATTGCTGGATACCCATGTCATAGCTAACTCCTCTTCCTCAGCACTTAAGTTTTGACCCTGATACTGGATATTGACAATATTTGCCAAAAAATGAGCTGGAGACACTACTTGTCCCATGCTTGTAATTTAATTCTGTCCATGTGTAGTTCTGTTTTTAAGTGTTCACTCAGTTCCTTCTAAATTTCAACAGCATCAAGCAATAAAACAGCTATTTTTCTGTATTTTGTTTAAAGCTTCAGAGATGGGTTTCAGGATGCTCAGCATATGTTCAACATTTCTCTTAAGCCCAATGTTGAGGATTTTGGCCGTGACAGTGCCATCTATTTTATCTCAATTTTCTTCACAAACTGTCATCAGAATAGGCCAGTTCTTGATATACTGCTCAAAACAGTCCACCACAGAGTTCCATCTAACATCTTGTGGGAGCGTTAGCTTGGTTCCACCCATCCTTTTCAGAGCTGCTGCAGCAAAATGATAGTTACAGAAGTATTTAGCAATTTCAACAACATTAGTCTTTATTTCTGGAACACTTAAGTCTTTGGCTAAGAGGTGCAGCAAATGAGCACTGCAATCATATGTTATTAGCTTTGTATTCCCTTCCCTTCTTCCCATCTTGGATACATTTGCAGCATTGTGACCAAACTGCATACTAGACATTTGAATTTTTTGTGTCCAGACCAGACCACCCCAACAATGCCCTTGATGTGATGTCTCGCTGCCTGGAGGCCGTGCAGGTCTGGATGGGGAGGAACAGGCTCAGACTCAACCCCTCCAAGACTGAGTGGCTGTGGCTTCCGGCGTCCCAATATAGTCAGCAGGTGCCATCGCTGACTATTGGGGGTGAATCTTTGCCCCCCACAGAGAGGGCTCGCAATCTGGGTGTCCTCCTGGATGCATGGATGTCTTTAGAAGAGCATATGACGGCCGTGGCCAGGGGGGCCTTTTATCAGGTTCGCCCGATTCACCAGTTGCAGCCCTTTCTGGACCGGGACGCCTTGCGCACGGTCACTCACGCCCTTGTCACCTCCCGGCTAGACTATTGTAATGCTCTCTACATGGGGCTCCCCTTGAAGAGCACTCGGAGGCTCCAACTGGTCCAGAATGCGGCCGCACGGGTGGTTATGGGCGCAACTCGTTGTGCCCATGTGACACCCCTCCTGCGCGAGCTGCACTGGCTCCCAGTGGTCTTCCGGGTGCGATTCAAGGTGTTGGTTACCACCTTTAAAGCGCTCCATGGCATAGGACCCGGGTACCTTCGAGACCGACTTCTGCCACCAATAGCTTCCCACCAGCCAGTTCGTTCCCACAGAGAGGGTCTCCTCAGGGTGCCATCGGCCAAGTTATGTCGGCTGGCGACACCCAGGGGGAGGGCCTTCTCTGTGGGACCCCAGCCCTGTGGAATGAACTGCCCCCGGAAATACGTAAGATCCCCGACCTCCGGGTATTTCGCTGTGCACTGAAGACCCTGTTGTTCCGCCAGGCCGGGCTATCGACATGATAATTTTAAATTGGGGTATTTTAAATTTCTGGGGTTTTAAATGGAGCCAAATTTATTTAATAATTTTAAATTTTAAATTGATGTTTGTCTTGTGTTTTTAAATAGGCTGTACACCGCCCTGAGTCCTTCGGGAGAACGGCGGTATAGAAATATAATAATAATAATAATTATTATTATTATTATTATTATTATTATTATTATTATTATTATTATTATTATTCACATGTTATTATAGCTTTTACTGCCACTTCTTGTATAAGTATTCTGCTCTGTGTGCATTTCCTGACGTATCAATTGTTTGTGCAAGGAAGACTTTCCCTTCTTCTGTTGTTATACAAGCACATACAATAGGATCATTGTGGACATTACTCCACCCATCAATACTTAGGTTAACAATTCTATCCTCCAGAGCTGTTGCACATTGCTCCATTTCTCTGTCATACACTTTATCCAGCAGTTTCCCTGCAACATCTGCTCTGCTGGGTGGACTGTATCCTGGTCTCAGTGACTGAACCATATTAATGAAATGTGAGTTCTCAGTCAGACGGAAAGAAGAGTTCGTTGCATAAACAAACTGGGCAATTTTTTCATCAATTAACTCTTTTTCTAATCTGCTAGTTTTTATCACAAACTTATCTATGGTGGTTCCAGGAGGGAAGGGTTTTTTCTTTCTTTTAGGTGATAGTGATACGTGGCTGTGGGTGTTTGATGATGATGATGCTAATGAAGCACTATCCTGGATGGATAACTCTGAAACTGTAGAACAGGAGGATGGTGATCTTGAAGGTGGATAGTTTCCAGAATCCATGAATTCCCCTAAACAAAAGAGTCAGTGCTGTTATTTTATTGTTTATACAATTTCTGCTTGTTGTACACAGCACTGCCCCAAAAGGAATATTTGCTTTTCTTCATAACTGTACCAAATGACAGTAACATGCAGTAATAATAAGAAATATAATTTTGCTCAAACATGACAGTTCAAGGCAGTCTTTAGAAATATGATTCAATAAAAATGTTTACCAACCTGAAGATCCTGCCTGTTCAAATGTGTTTCTTTGGTCATCTTCATCACAGCTCTTCTCATGATGTTGCCTCATTCGGGCCACCAGGCCTTGCATTTCTTTGTTGCAGTGTTTGCAGTTTGCATGCATGCCTGCCTTACCGATAGGTAAAGGAACTTCATAAAAATATTGCCAAACTGGGTCTCTTTTACGGCCTGCTGCCATTATAGGTTTTTTCCTCCAAGGAAAGAATGTGATAAACCTCAAACAAAAAGATCCAAAGACTTGTCTGTCTGTGGCTGTGCAGTATTGTACTCAGAAAGTTTCACTTTCATTTTGTACTGCTTGTCTGCTTGCCCCTTCCTCCTCATACTTAGTTTCACTTTCTTCTTGTGCAGATCTATTCCACTCCAAACAATCAGAAAAATATTGTTTCTATTCTATTCACTGAACTTCTTGAAACTTAGCACTGAAGGGGTTGATTCTGTATTCATAGGTTTGTAGAACAATAGGATTAAGGTCTTTTTCTCAACTCTGTTCATGTTATAACATTTTTGCTGTGAAGAAGAGGCATGTGATCTCTGCTGAGTCAAATTCAGTTTTGAGAACTGCAAAAGTAAACCAAATATCTGTGATAATATCTTGCCCAATAATCTTACAAAAACCTCTGGAAGAGCATGACGTGAATGGATTAATGGAATTTATTTACCAAAAAAATTAAACACATACAGCCTTATTCTACATAATTAAAAAACTAATCTTTATTTCATGATGGAATAACCTTTGGATGGTAATATATTTTCCTCAAAAAGCATTTTATTTAAAAAAATCCGATTTAAATCAAAAAAATCCGATTTAAATCAAATCTGATTTTTTTTTTATTTTTTTAAAAAAATCATTGATTTTTATCCATCCTGCTTCCCAGTGGGCTATGGTCATGGGCATGGCTGCAGTTATGGAGGGTGAAGCAGCTGACTGGGTCGCTGACCTATATAGTGACCATGCAGGGGAACTGGGAGATATAGGCCTGTTCCTCTCTGCATTGCAGGAGAGGTTTGAGGATAATGCAAGAATGGAACAGGCTGAGGGTGAGCTATTGGCAGTGAGGCAATGAGGCCAGCCAGTGGCTGAATATGTAAGGAAGCTCTGCAGACTATCCGGAAGAGTGAGAGGCTGGCCAGAGAAGTTGATAGTAAACCAATTTAGAGCTGGACTTGATCGTGCTTTATGGCAAGCCTGTATGACCTGTGGCTTGCCACCCGGTCTGATGGCATGGCTACAAGCCACTACTGAAATTGACAAGATCCGGAGGGATGACCGAACAAGAGCAGAGTGGCCAGCAAGAGGGCGGAGGCCCCCAGACGATCCTTTCAGGCGACACAGCCACCACACGACCCAACACCAGCCACACCACCTACAGCCTCCCCAGGAAAACCCGGTTCCACCAGGGCCCCGATGATCTGGTTCCGATGCGGGAAGCTGGGTCACAGGGCGTTGGATTGCCCTGAGGCAGGCACTAAACGAGACCCAGGAAATGTAACACCAGGGCCCTGGCAGAGTACCGTTTGAAAGAGGTTAAAGAAAACCCCTGCAAGTGGATCACAGCAGACGGGCCACTTCACTCCCGGCGGGAATGGTGGTAGTCCCATTGTAGAGGACACAACCAGCGGCAGTGAGGACAAGGCGGAGGCTGATCCTATGGAAAGCTACCCAATCAAACCATTCCTGATTTCGGTGATGTTGGAAGCAGGTAGTCGACAGAAGTGTAGGGCCCTCATAGATTCCGGCTGCACCCGTTGTCTTATGAGCATGACTACAGCAAAGAGTTTAGAGGTGGGGTACGTAAACTAATTAGCTCTATCAGGTTTGAACAGATGGATGGGTCCCTATTGGGAGGCAAATTAGTGATGTCACTGAGCTACTTACCCTGGAGTTAGGACCTCATAAAGAAACGGATCTGTTTCATAGTAGTCCCCAAGATAACGGAAGACATTGTGCTTGGTCTAGCTTGGCTGGACAAATGGGCTCCCATGATCTGATGGGGAGGGGCAAATCCTCCGATTTGAGGATCGGAGTTGGCCCTGACCCACCTCCACATGAATACCACCCAGAGGGGTTGGGGAGCAACCAGTCAGTGGTTAAGCAGACTACAGAGCTGGTAGGGCTCCCAGAGATCTATAGTGACCTTAAGGAGGTCTGTAGTGAATGAGAGTGTGACAACCTACTCCTACTGACTGCACTATTGAGATCTTACCAGGAGCATTTCTATCCAAGCCCAAGATGTACTCTATGATCCCCCCAAGAACTAATGGAAATGAGGGCATACATAGAGAAGAATTTAAAATGGGGATTCATAGAGCTGGCCAGGTCAAGGGTAGCTGCTCCCATTCTATTCCTGGAGAAAAAGGATGGATGACTATGGCTTTGCATGGATTTTAGGGGAATCCTTTTTTCCTTTTTGACAATTTGGACTATTTTTAAACCTTTTTTTGTTTGCCTTGCATCGAGCGGCGTGAAGGGTCCTTACTCGACACCGCCGCCGGCCGCTCTAGCTGCAGGGGGCTTCCTCCAGAAGGACCCCCTGAGGGGTCGAAGCTCGATCTCCCCCTCTGCCTCCCCACCCTTTACACCGGGAGTGCCCAAATAGCTGCATTTTAATGGCATTCGCCGAGCAGCTTTACAGGCACCTTTTTTAGGTGGGCGATTCAAACGGCGCCATTTTCTTGCCGCTTTTACTGCCTGGAGCTAGCGGTTTCATGAACATTTTCCCGATGGAGCTCTTCTTCTCGTGACCAATCTAGCCAACTCCGGAGCCCTGAATCCTCCCTGTCAATGGAGATCCGCTTCTTTAAGCTAAGTTTGTCTTGGGGGCTCATTATTGCTAATGAGGCTCTTTCTCCCCGTACCGAGGGATTGCAATCCAAAATGGCGGACGCTTCTCATCATCCCCGCCCAGCTTCAACTTCCTCACAGGCCCGCCATCGGCATGCTAGCGACCCGGGGGAGGGCTCCTCAGCTAAACAGCCACGTAAAGGTAAAGTCCCAGCAAAGGGATCCTCCGCCACGGCCGCCCCCAAACAATCTAAAGAGGAACTGAGACGCCACAAGGCGTTGGAGAAGGCGGTTCTAAGGGCACAACAATGGCCCTCCGCCATTTTGCCTGTTCAGGCCGCCATTTTGTCACCATCAGATTCGGCCACGGCTCCCCAAATTTCTGAAGCCCATCCGGGACGTGAGCTCTTTCCGGATCGTCCTTCCTCCCGTGGGCCAACTTCATCTGAGGCAGAGCAGGTCTTTCAAACCATTCCAGACTCCTCTGATCCTCCCGGACCTAGTCATTCAGTGGCCTCCGTTCCAGGGCCTTCCGGCCTAGTGGCCAGTCCCGCTGCCACTCACACCCTCCCAGCGGGTACATCTCAGGCGGATCCTCAAGCTACGCTTGAGGCCATCATTGCCAGGGCCATACAACAGGGTTTGGCACAAGGCCTTCAACAAGGCCTCTTTCAACCGCCCCCTCCCCCCCCGGTGTCCCACGCTCAACCTCGCCAGGCTCAATCTGCTCTCTCCGCTGATCACCAGTATTCCCCGGAGCCTTCTAATCAGGGGTCTCTATCAGATGAAGAGGAGTCGAGGGAGCTATCTCTCTCGGACGATGAGGGACTGACTCTGGACCAACCCGCTTTTATTGGTCTCTTTAGACCTCAGCTTTTCCGCTCCTTATTGTACAAAGCCCTAGCAGTAACCAGACTGGGTTCTTCTTCTACTGCTGGTACCACACTCCCTGAGGGTGCGGATCCTGCCTCTTCTCTCTTTGCGGAACCAGCTGTTGAACCGGAACTTATTCCTGCCCCTAAATTGTTTACCGACGTCGTACAACGTCAATGGGCCCTACCTGGTTCGGTTCCAGTTCCAAGCGGCACCGATAAATGATTATATCAAACTGCTCCAGCCCTTTCAAACTTGTTGCAAGTACCACCGGTGGACGGCCCTATTGCAGCCTTGACTTCTCCTTCCAGACTCCCAAGCTCTCCGGAAGAATCACTGCGTCCTGAGGACAAACGGGCAGAAAAGACCCTTGTCAAGGCACATCAATCTGCTGCATGGGCTGTCAAAACGGCCACCGCAGCCTCCTTTTTCAACCGGGCTTCCCTGTTATGGTTGAAGCAACTACAGGATCGGCTACCTCCTTCAGACATCCGCACTCACCAAGACCTGAACAAGATAGTCGCTGCCCTGGAGTACTCGGCGGATGCCACATTGAATTCCGCTCGGTTTGCGGCCAAATCCATCGGCTCCACTGTTACATCCCGCAGACTCCTGTGGCTCCGCCACTGGCAGGCTGATGCCAAAAGCAAATGGCAACTTGCATCGTCTCCCTATTCGACTGACTCCCTGTTCAGTCCACCGTTGGAACCCCTTCTTGTAGAAACCAGAGATCAGCGCAAGATTCTCCCCTCGTCACTCCAACTCTCGTTTTTCCCCTTACAGCAGAATTCAGTCCTTTTATCATATGTGGTGGATATGTCCAGAAGCGAGAAATTATTGGATTAGAATTAAAACTTGGTTAGAAGAAATGCTTCAACAACATATTGATTAAAAACCTGAACTGTTCCTATTGGGTATACTACCAGAGAAAATTAGTAAAGAAAATATATATTTGATTATACATGTAATAAAGAGCCTTGATAGTACAGTGGTTTAGTGCACCCTGTCATTAACACAGCTGCCTGCAATTTCTGCTGGTTCGAATCTCTCCAAGGCTCAAGGTTGACTCAGCCTTCCATTCTTTCTAAGGTAAGTGAAATGAGGACCCAGTTTGTGGGGGCAATAAGCTGACTTTGTATAAAATATACAAAAGAATGAAGGCTATTGCTTAACGCATTGTAAGCCGCCCTGAGTCTCCGGAGAAGGGCGGCATATAAATCAAATTAAAAAAAAAAACTGCAGCAAGGATAATATTTGCGCAAAGATGGAAAGCAGAAAAAAATCCCTTCAGAAGGGGAAGTAATTAAGAAAATATTAGAT